GGGCGGGACCCGGGGCGGGACCCGGCGCGGCTGCCGCCGCACTCGTTTTTCGCAAACAGTCACACACTTCGTGCTCTTCGACCTCCCAGAACTCCATTCCCGGGCCACATTCTGAATGCCCGGAGCCAACTGTAGGCCACTTCGTGCTCTTCGACTTCCCAGAACTCCATTCCCGGGCCACATTTTGGATGCCCGGAGCCAACTGTAGGCCACTTCGTGCTCTTCGACTTCCCAGAACTCCATTCCCGGGCCACATTTTGGATGCCCGGAGCCAACTGTAGGCCACTTCGTGCTCTTCGAGTTCCCAGAACTCCATTCCCGGGCCACATTTTGGATGCCCGGAGCCAACTGTAGGCCACTTCGTGTTCTTCTAGTTCCCAGAACTCCGTTCCTGGGCCACATTTTGAATGCTGAGGCAGGCTGATGCTGCGGCCGAGGCAGGCTGAGGCTGAGGCAGGCTGAGGCTGAGGCCGAGGCTGAAGGCAGACTGAGGCTGAGGCTGAAGCAGGCTGAGGCTGAGGCTGAGGCAGGCTGAGGCTGAGGCAGGCTGCTGCAGGCTGAGGCTGAGGCTGAGGCTGATGCAGGCTGAGGCTGAGGCAGGCTGAGGCTGAGGCCGAGGCTGAAGGCAGACTGAGGCTGAGGCTGAAGCAGGCTGAGGCTGAGGCTGAGGCAGGCTGAGGCTGAGGCAGGCTGAGGCTGAGGCTGAGGCAGGCTGAGGCTGAGGCTGTGACTGCGACTGCCGTTGCCGCTGCGACTGTCATCGCGAATGCGACTACGACTGCGAGAACAGCAGAATTCTACAACTGGATTTTCATCTGAATCTTAAGGGGAATGCTTTCAGATATGCTTCTACACATCGCTGTTAGGTAGCTTTGCCGGGATAATTTACCTAACAGCGAAGACTGATATGTTTCTAGTGGTGTCAAAAGAGAGCATCATGACTCCTCAGGGGGGTCGGGGCGGGACCCGGACAGGCTGCCGCCGAAGCCCAAATCGCCTTGGACATCCTCGCAAAATCGCTCTTGGCGCTGCTAGGACTCCACTCCCGGCGTACATTTTGAATGCCCGGAGCCAACTGTAGGCCACTTCGTGCTCTTCGACTTCCCAGAACTCCACTCCCGGCGTACATTTTGGATGCCCGGAGCCAGCTGTAGGCCACTTCGTGGTCTTCGAGTTCCCAGAACACCATTCCCGGTCCACATTTTGGATGCCCGGAGCCAGCTGTAGGGCACTTCGTGGTCTTCGAGTTTCCAGAACTCCATTCCCGGGCCACATTTTGAATGCCCGGAGCCAACTGTAGGCCACTTCGTGCTCTTCGAGTTCCCAGAACACCATTCCCGGGCCACATTTTGAATGCCCGGAGCCAACTGTAGGCCACTTCGTGGTCTTCGTTTGTACTGCTCTTGCTACTAGTGTTTCTACTGCTACTACCATTGCTCCCATTACTCCTACTCGTTCACTCCACCCACTACAACTACTACTTCACTGTTACCGCTACTACCATCAGTACTACTTCTACTGCTATTACTACTGTTGCTATTACTGTTGCTGCTGCTGTTGCTGCTGCTAATGTAGCTTTTGCTACTGCAACTACTGGCAGTGCCACTGCGACTGCGACTGCGACTGATGTTGCCACTGCGACTGCCACTGCGAATCCGAATGCGACTGCGAGAACACCTGAATTCTACAACAGCGCTCTTACATGAATACCCAAGGCAATGTTTCCAGCTATGCTTCTACACGTCGCTGTTAGGTTGCTTTGCCGGGATAATCCTCCTCCTCCTCCTCCTTCCTTCCTTCCTTCTGCTCGGCTTCACGCGGCCCGCAATGTTGGGACCGCGTGCCTAGCCAGACCGCCCGGCGCGGGCACCTACCCGCAGGCGGGCCCCTTAACGCCCGGCCTGCGCACCCTTTTTCGCGGCCGGGGGGCTTTCCGGCTGACGCCCGACGCTGATGCGGGGGGTGCGCGGTGCCCGGCCTTGAGCCCCTATGGAGGGGCCCGCAGGGCAGCCCCGCTCTGCGGGTGATGTTCGGGCGTTTTTTTTCTTTACTCTTGTGTCCCCCCCCCGGCGGCCCACCCAACACGAGGTTGGCGGGGTGCCGCGCGGGAGTGTCCCCCAGCAGCCCCGCTGGGAACGGGTTGCTGCGCGGTGGGCAGAATATCCGAAAATTGCCATTTGAGACAACGGTAATTGGCCTACGGGCCCCCTCGTCGCCACGGTTGGACGCAGCTCGGAGAAAGGGTGCGTTCGCGCCTGGGGAGGAGTCCATGGATCGACTTTGACTTGCCAGTGTCCCAACTCGCCCAGCTCCGCGATATTGGCGGGCCTGGCGGTGTTGGATGGGTGGCTGGCTGGCTGCGCGGCCGCCCCCTGGCCCAGCCCCCTACCGGCCTGATGTCCAAGCGCCGCGGCCGATCTGCCCCGCAAGGCGGGGCGGCGGCGGCAACAGCGACGGCGGCGGCGACGATGGCGGACGACGGACGACGGACGACGGACGACGGCCGACGGACGACGACGACGACGACGACGACGACGACGACGACGCGACGCGACGACGATGACGACGACGGCGACGACGACGACTCGAGCGGCCAAGGGCGAGATCTTTCGTGTCAAGATAAGGGGCAGCGCGGGAGGGGAACGGCAGGGGCAGGCGGCGGCGAAATGGCTATGGCCCCCCGGGCGCCGCGGCCCCCCCCTGGCTCGCAGTCCTGGTCTGCCCTGGCTGCGGACGGAAGGGTGTGGTGCGAAGAAGGGCATGAGCTGGCCCTCGCCCCGGCGCGCGCCAGCGGGCTGGCCAGGGCCAGCCCTGCTCTAATGGCGGCGTGGGGCGAGCTCGCGACCCAGCCATCCCGCGCGTCCCTCTGCTCAGGTCGCACCTGCTCCTGGGCGCCTACTTCGGGCCGCGTGGTGCGGAGCGAAGAGGGCGCAAGGGCTGGCCGCCGGCCCTTGCGCGCTTCGGTCAGACTTGTCACTGGCCGAGACTGCTGGTGCGAGGGGCGAAGCTTGTTCCGGCCCTCCCGCCCGCCCCGCGGCCCTACTGCGCGGGGCGGTGGCGACGGCGGCGGGGGCGACGGCAGAGGGCAGAGGGGGGGGGGGGCGGTCCAAGAGGGGGGCGCGGAGAGGGGGGCGGCACGAAGGGGAAGAGGAAAGGGGGAGATGACGAAACGCGGTGGAGGGGGGACAGGCGGCCGGAGAAGGGCGGAGGGAAAGCCCCCCCGGGTGGCTGCCACCCGGAACGCGCGGCGTCGGCTCTGCCCCTGGCTCCCGGCTTGCCTTCATGTCATGCCGCCGACCCGCAGGCGCGGCGGCGGCGACCCCGACGACGACGGCGACGGCGGCGTCGGCCCCGACGACGACGCCGACGCCGACGCCGACGCTGACGCCGACGACGACGACGACGGCGACCACGGCGACGACGACGACGGCGAAAACGACGACGGCGGCGAGACGACGACAGCGCCAACGTCGGAGAAGGGCCGCCCCGCCCAGCCGCGCGCTGGGGCCGGCGCGGTTCCCAAGGCCCTCCAGGGGGGTGCGCCCGTCCACGCCCCCCGCGCCCCCTGCCGCGCCGCCCCGCGGACGGGGGTCTCAAGGGGGCGCGCTGCCCAGTTCGTCGCGGCGCCAGAGGCCAAACAAAAAGAGAGGGCGGTAAAGGGGGGGGGCGAAGCAGAGAGTGCGCGGACCAGGGGGGGGAGAAGCGGAAAGGCGGAGGAAAGGCGAGAGGGGAAAGGGCAGAAAAAGGCAGGGAAGGAGCTGGCCGGGGCCGTCGGGAGCCAGCTGAGGGCACGTTTTCCTGTGGCTGGCTGCAGGCAGCAGGGTTCCCGCCGCAGGGGTCGCACATGCTCTTCGGTGAAAGCGGGATGGGTGAGAACGCGGGGCAGGGTCCACCTCGCGGCCCCGCTTTGGGTCGGGCGTTGCGCGGTGGGTAACTCTTCTCCTGTCACCTGGCCAGATGGGGCAGCGGCTGGCTGTTGGCTGCTGGCTGGCGCGCCCGGCACTGCCCCCTGGTAGAAAGCCACCATGGCGAAAAAGAGGGAAAAACAAGGCCTGCCGCGTGAGGAGGGCAGCCAGCCAGGCAGGTGGACCCTTTGACCTCTTGACCCTTCTCCTCCTCCTCCTCCTCCTCTTCTTCTTCTTCTTCTTGGGCTTCTTCTTCTTCTTCGTCTTCTTCTTCTTCTTCTTCTTCTTTCCTCCTCCTCCTCCTCCTCCTCCTCCTCCTCCTCCTCCTCCTCCCCTGCTCCATCTCCTTCGCGCGCCTGCAATTTTGCGCTGGCGAGCAAAACCGACACGCGAAAACAGTCATGGACTATTGGAAAACTGTTCCCTCTTCCCCGCCCCCCCCACATCCCAAGCACTCGGCGGACTGGCCCCACCACCCCTTTACACACAGAAAGCCTCCCTCACAAAACACCCCCCCCTGCGAAAGAGGGGGGTCCAACTCCCCCCCTCCCCATCGAAAGGGGGGCGTTCAAACCCTTGCCTCCCATGGCGCCAGTCGTCGTCGTCGTCGTCGTCGTCGTCGTCGTCGTCGTCGTCGTCGTCGTTGCTGTCGTCGTCTGCTGGCGCCATGGGTGTGGAAGGGTCGTCGTCGTCGTCGTTTGCTGGCGCCAGGGGTGCAGGGCGATTCATCGTCATCGTCGCCTCGTCCTTCAGCTCTGCTTTATCGTCGTCCTCATCCTGCGGCCTCAACACTGCAAGGGTGTGGGCAAAACGCGGGTGGCAGCAGAGCAGGCTGCGGACGGGGATTAACTGCAAGAGGCAGAAAAAAAACTAAACAACAGACCGCTGCCGCTCCTGCTCCTGCTCCTGCTCCCGCTGCTGATGCCATTTCGTCCACAGGCACCTCTTCCAGACCTCCGAAAGCATCTGAAAGCCTTCTATAATACCTGAAGACCCTAAAAGAACACCCAAACGCCGCCGAAACCCTGCCTCCCTGCTCCTGCTCCTCGTGCACCAGCTGCTCATCCGAGGGCGGCCGCCGCTGAGGGCCGTGGCCAAAATAGGCGCCGCCGAACTTCTTGGTGCCTCGGTATGTCGGGCCGTGGGGTGCGTGGGGCCGGGAACTCAGCGGGGCCTCATCCGACCGATGGGGACAGACACAGCCCTGCATAGTACGCGCGACTGCCCCCCCCGCCATTTTTCCTGGGAGAGGAAAGTAAGAACATAATAATACTAATAACAATAATAATGATAATAATAATACTAATAACAACATCAATAACAATACTAATACTACTAATAATAAGACTACTAATAATAACAATAATACTAACACTACTAATAACAGTAATAAAGCTAATAATTATCACACTAATAATTATATCAGTAATGATATTAATAATACTAATTCCACTAATAATAATATTAATAATAATAATAATGATGATAATAATAATACTAGTACTAATAATAACAACAATCGTACTACTACAAATAATAATAATACTAATAATCATAACAACAGCAACACCACCAACAACAACAATAACAACAACAATAACAATATCAATATCAATAATATTAATAATAATACTAATAATATTATTAATAATAATACTAAGAATACTAATGATAATAATAATAGTAACTAATAATGATGATGATCATAAGAGTAATAATAAGACGAAGAAAACTAATAATAATACTACTAGGAAGAATAACAATAAAAGAAGAAGAAGCGGTGGAGGAAGGCCTGCCGTCTCTCCTCCTTCTCCTGCCGTTCCTCCTCCTCTTCCTCCTTTTCTTCTTACTCTCTCTCTCTCTCGTGCTATTGGAAAATGATCTGCAGTGCCCAATCCTCCTTCTCCTCCTCCTCCTCCTCCTCGTCCTCCTCCTCTTCCTCCTCCTCCTCTCCTCCTGCCCGCCGTGTCTACCCCCCCCATCCAGTCGCACTCCCCCTGTTTCCCCCCCCTCTGGTGGGGATCGGTCTTTGGGCTCTGGGCCACTGGCGCCTGGCACGTGGAACGCGGCGTAGCCTGGCCAACTCAGCGAGCGGAGCGTGACCAGCGCGGCCGACGGGTCCTGCCGGATGGCCCGACTTGGACATTGGGGTCCGAGGATCGGGGATCGAGGGTTGAGGATCTAGGTTGGGAGGGGAGGCCGACGTTCAAGGTTCGATGACCAAGGTTTTTGGGCGAACCAGGAGCCTCCACTGAGCTCTGGATGCCTCTGGGGCCTCCGAAACTTCCATAAACCTCCAGACGTGCAAAATCACAGGGTATGATGATAATGAAGTGGGCTATCATGATACGGTGGGAGAACAAAAGGACACTTATATGAGGATGGGGGAAGAGACCACGGATGAGGACTGATAATGAGGTGGACGAGCAAATACGTTTGTTGGACGTTTTGCTAAGCATAACTTGCGGGATATGAGGGGGAACAAAACGGCGAGCGGCCGAACGGCCCGCCACGCCCGTGTCTGCCCCGACGAGCAAGCGCGCCCATCTCCTTCGGGCCCTCCAAACGGAGGGCGCGGAGGGAACGCCGCAAGGCGGTGGGGTGACGGTGTTCGGCCGCCGCCTAGCCGCCTCGACTCGCGCTAGTCAGGGCTGGCGCCGTCGCCGTCGGGCGCAGGCGGGGCTGGGGCCAGGGGCCCCCCTGCCCAGTGCCAGGGCAACGCTCCTGAGCTGAGGCTCCTTCAGGTCAGCGAAGAGGAGGCCGTCCCGTAGGCGTCGCAAGCGGCGCGGCCTGGGCATGCGCATCCTGCGTGGGAGCTGCTCGGGCGATGGAGGCCCCCGCGACCCCGGCGTGCAACGAATCTCGCGCCGCTCTGGGCGGCCTCGCGTAGCTGGGGTAGAGAGCTGTTCGAAGTCTGGACAAATTCCCCAGGCCTTCGCGCAAGCCGGGCTTGCGCGCGCTGGAGAGCTGGCCGCCGTCAACAACCGCGGTGCGTCCGCGCCGCAACTAGACGTCAATATCATGGTCGCCCCCGAACCCCCAAGACTGGGAAGAGCCCGGCGAAACCTCGCCGACCCGGATCGGCCCCTGGAGCGCGACCGCAACATCCCCAGGAAATCTCTCGAGTAGGGCGGAGCGGGGGCCCGCGCGCAAAACCCGGGGCCTCTAAGAGGCGCTTCTTCCGGGGCACCAGGCCTCGATTATTGCGGCGGAAAGCTTGGCCGAACTGTGGCAAGTTATGCGCGCTCGCTCTGGCGGCGACTTTTGATTTGGAGCTTTCCCTGGGGCAATCTACCTCCGAATGCGCTTTGTCCCTCTCGGGGTCTGCGGCGGCGGCGTCGGCGAGCGCCGTTCGAGCTCTGCGTCGGACTAAAGCTGCTGTGGCGCCCTGACGTCAGTCTGAAGATCCTCGGCGACCGACGACTGCCAGGGTCTCTCCGCTGTTTCGCCAGCGGCCTCGCCGGCAGACTGATTGCCTACAGACGAATGCCGCTCCCGCTTTGACAGGCTTGGTGTGTCGATCGAAACGCGGGGCGGAGTCCATTCGACCGCGGCCCGAGCGTTGCCTGGGGCGTCTTAGGCGCGGCGGATGCGCAATCGCAAATTACAGCCGCCCCAGAGCCTCGAGGTCGCCCCCGCCTCCGCCCAGCCATGAGCGGCCTGTCGTCCACGGCGAAATGCGCGGGGCCCGTGGTGGCCGCGAGGAAAAGGGCGAAGGCTTGAGGCTCTGAGCAAGGCGCTCTTCGGATAGGCCTTCCAAGTATTTCGGAGAAGCCGGCCTGCGCGCTCCAGCCAAGAATCCCATTATCAGGCCTCCGTCTCCTGGGCGCGATCCGGGGCCGCGCCCGCGTCTGCGGCGGCGAGGGCCCGAAGAAGAACTGTCTCCATGACCGTCTCCAAAGCCGGCGAATCGGCCCAGGCCTTCGACCGAGCACTCGCGTAACGAGCACGAACCCCAAGTCGGCTCTGCTGAAGTCCTCGGGGGGATCAACGAAGACAGGGCGAGCGAGCCCAGTGGGAGGGGCTCCTCTGGGCCAAAGCGGGGGCTGAGACTCGAAAGACGCTAAGGCTCGTGGTGCTATCCGTCTGCTCATGGTCAGGATGATTCCTGTTGCGCGGGCAGCGCCACGTGCGGTGGCGAAGGCCCCCGCCGTTTTTCGCCGCGCCTGGGGCGCCGTCTCCGAAGCGGGGCTCAGCGGGCGCCGTCGGGTTTTAAACCGTTGGGCACCCGCCGTGCCGCGTGCATTCAGGCAGAAATTAGCAAGCCCACATTGCTTCGCATAACATTTGGGCTCCGACCTGGCCCGCTGCAACTCTCCGCCGCGCTCGGGCCCTTTGCCGTCTTTGTGAGGCGCCGCCGGATTCCATGTCTGTAGACGAGCATCCGTGACAACGCCGTCCAACAGGTCAGAGACATCGAACCCGGTCGGATCGTAACCTGTCGCTCTTGAATTAAGGATCTGCCACTCCTCCAGGGCGCCCTTGACCAGCCTGCGCCGCCTGGGTGCGCTGTGAGCTTGCCGCCCTGCGTCCGCCAGGGTGGATGTCGCTGCTGGAATCGGTCCTCAGACTAACCTCCACCTTGTTTTGTCTTCGCGTTCCAGCCGTCGGTGCGCGCGGGGCCCTGCCGATCCAACTCGGTAATGGAGGCCGCAGTCGGTCTGCCGCAGAGCCAGGTATTCTGATGGCAGTGGCCCGCGCAACTCGACCCCGGGGCCCTCGGGGCCGAACGGCGACCCCAGCGCTGCGGTCAGGCGACCCCCCGTCGGACCAGCTCCAGATGAGGTCCCTTGGCTTCCGTGCTTAACTGGGCGTTCCGACGAGGCTGCAGAGCCCCGCCTGCTCGCCGACGCCCAGCGACAAACCTGGGCCGCGTCTCTCTGGCCGTGCGCCTCCGCCCAGCAAGTGGATTAAAGCTGGGGCCCGCTCCGACCCAAACCGCGCTCACTGGGGCGATGTTCGCCCCCGGCTTCTGCGCCGCCGCCGGGCCAGCGCGTGGGTCTGACGATCGTGGAACTTTCCTATCGGCGGTCGCCGATGTGATTCCTGTCTCCCGTGCTCTCTCGACGAAATCAACCGTGGCATTGTGCAACTGTTTCGTCGTCGCATCTCCGCCCCTTTCCGCGCTGATCACATTGTCGTCGGTGGAAGCCTAGAATGTCGAGGAACTGGCCTTCTCGCGCGCCGCCTGCGTCGAGGGGCGCGGCGGCGTGCGCCCTCGTCGAACGCCGCGGGGCGATCCTGCAACTAGGGGCCTCGAGGCAGAGATCGCATCGGGAGCTCCCGAGGCGCCCCTGGGATACCGCCGGCCCAGGGCTGCGTCTCCAGCGAGGCCGCTGCCGGTGGACATTCGAGTTGCCGAGCGGCCCCGCCCGAGAGAACCCGAGACTCCGAGTCGCGCAACTTCTCGACATCCGCCAACCACGCGTCAGAAGTCAAACCCAAGGCGCCCGCCGATGCGTCGTGCGATGGCCCGTGCAACGCGGCTCTCACGGGACTGCTGCCGGCCGCCGTGGTGCCCCGCGACGCCGTCGAATAATCTGGCCGCAGCGGCGCCGTGCCGCGCCCGGGGCGGGGCCGCATCTTAGCCGGCCCAAATAAGAGCCCAGTCGCTCCCCCCCCGCCGGGCTCAGGAAGGGGGTCGCCCGTGGCGCCCGACAGCTGCGCTGGCGACGTGCCGGGCTGCTCCACCTGGCGGAGGAAATCGCAACATGCTTAGCGACTTGCTCGAAGTAGCCTTTGTGCATCGCATGGCTGGAGAAAGCAGCGCCGTGCGTGTTTCTCGCTAGTGCTGTGAAAACGCCGTCAATCTGTTCAAGGGTAGTCGGCTCCAGCGGGGCCTCGCTGGCATTTGCTCGCAACTCATTCATCATCTCGCGACTATCGACATGCGTGGCGCGAGGGTCTTGCCGGAGCTGATCTTGATAAGAGCGCGCAGCTTGCATCCTCGTCGCTGGGTCTCCATCGTCCTTGACGACGGCGTGAAGCCAGTCGAGTTTAGTTTTCCACTGCTCTTCCTCCCGCCGAATGAATGCATGTCTGCGCTGAACGAACTGAGCAGCGCCTTTGCACGCGGCCCGCGATCACTTGCGAGAGGGAGCGAGGGTCGCTCAACTCCTCAGCCGAAAAACTCGGTATGGAAGTGGGGTGAGCCAACCAAACTCGGCTATCTTCTCCTCCATCAAGTCCAAAGTGATATTGTGGTGATGCCGACGATGCTTGTGCCAAACGGTGCTTGGGGTGGCCTACGCGAGCTTCCTGCGGCTTTGGGGCGCGTCCATGTGCGCGTGGGGCCGCGAGCCCCTGCGCCGCCGCGGGAACCGAACCCCGCCGCCCGCCAATGCAGTCAACCATGCGTGGGTTGCCTGGTGTAGATTTCGCCCCTTGCACTTCCAACTTGAAGCCGCCAGCTCTGCCTCGGTACTGCGTTGAGTCAGCTTCAGCTAAATCGTGGTGAACCAGAACGGATTGTTCAACGTGAGTAAGTACCCAACCGACGCAAGCATCGGATACCAACTGCAGCTCTCCTAGGCGCACTTGACCGAACCATTGCCGTCAACAAGGTACTGGGCCTCCTTGCTGAGCTTCGGTGGAACAACGCCCTCACGTGCCTTCCACTTCTCAGAAGAAACCTGAGAATCCACAATGGGCTCCTCCGTGCTGGTGCTCTGCCCGTCTACTGAACCAACACTTCCACGCAGCTCAAAAAACACGCGTCCGCCGGTGTTTTTTTTGCGAGGGGCCTCTTGCTGTTGGGGTCTGCCTTCATATTGGGCTTGCTGACCTTCGGGAACGGCCCAGGAAGACCCAGTCGTTGATGAGTCAAACGCTTCAGCGGGCCGCGTACGTTTATGTGACGGGCATAAATAATCATCCACGTTGCTTGGACATGTCCTCGAACTCCCAAGTTGCTATCCGCGCCGCTCTGAACCAAATTGATGAATCAACTCTTTTTGGCTTTGTCACGTGTGGTGGTGCGGGTAACTGGAAGATGCAATATTCAATCTCCAACTACATGCCAAGTGTCGGCCAATCCTTGCAGAAATGACGATAACGCCGGCACTGTCTACAAGTTTCGAGTACTTGTGCCTAATCTAAGCCAACAGTAAATTCCAGCCACCACCAATTTATCCGAGTTTAAATGCAACGCCATCGCCGAGAACCCTGTCATCAGGTCCGCCTGACGCGACGCCAGCGAATGTTGTTGTCTACCGGCCTGGAACGGGGTCCTAGCATGATGCTTGCGGGCTAACACCCATTCACCTCCTGACGATCCGCCACGTCCTCTTAGCACGTGCCTGTGGTGCTGACCTTCCGCCCATAGTTTGTCCAAGTTGTGCTCAATCCTCAAATAACACAAAGCATCCGCCGTAACATGCGCCTACACCAGACAAAACACATCCCAATAATAAGGAGGAGGTGTATGATAACAACGAAAGGGCACGAGGGTGATGACCGAGAGGAGGATGCCGAGGAGGGGTTAGATGGGGAGGACATGGAGGGGACCAAACATTTTGGGCGTCGGGAAAGGCAACAGCACGACGTCGTGAACAAAAACACCGCCAGAACTCACCAACCGCCGATCCGCAAAGGCCTCTGGGGTCTGTGGGCGCCAGATCCGCGGGCCACGGGAATTTCTCCCCAGAACACGGCGCCAACGCCACCCGATTCGGCGACGGAACGCGCCGATTTTACATGGAAGCGGGACCCGTCGCTAATCCACGTGCCCTAATCCATGTTTGCGCGTCCTCGAAAGTCCTGCCGGATGGCCCAGCTGCCCTGGGGAAGGTCCCCCTCGAGAGGGTCGAGGAAGCTGGCGTAGAACTGCGCGTCCGTGCGGGCGAGGGCGCGCAACGACGCCACGCTCGTGGGCGGTCGGAAGTGCACGTACTTGGACAGAGCGGTGGCCTTCGCCGTCGTCGTTGTCGCTGTCGTCGCCTTCGGTGTCGTCGCCGTCGCCGCCGCTGCCGCTGTCGCTGTCACTGTTGCTTTCGCTGCCGTCGTCGTCGTCATCGTCGTCGTCGTCGTCGTCGTCGCCGTCGTCGTCGTCAGCGTCGCCGCCGTCGCCGTCGTCCCCGCCGTCCTCGCCGCGGCCGTCGCCTGGGGCCCCGCGGGAAGGTTGCCGATGAGCAGGCGGGGTCAGATTTCCGCCAGAAAATTGGCCAGACGCCCCTCATCCTTCCGCCTTCCGCCTCCTCCTACTCCTCCCTGCTCCCTGATCCTCGTCCCGGTCCTCCTCTTACTCCTCGGCCCTTGTTCTCCCCTCCTTATTTTCCTCCTCCTCTTCCTCGTCATGCTCCTCCTCCCTGGCCAGCCTCCCTCTTCCCTCCAGCCTCCCTGTTCGTTAATATTTCATCGTCCCTCGTCGTCGTCGTCCTCCTCCTCCTCCTCCTCTCTTCCCCTCTCCTCTCCTCTCCTCTCCTCTCCTCTCTTCTCTTCTGTTCTCTTCTCTTCTCTTCTCTTCTCTTCTCTTCTCTTCTCTTCTCTTCTCTTCTCTTCTCTTCTCTTCTCCTCCTCCTCTTCTCCCCTCCTTTCCCCCCTGTTCCTCCTCGTTCCTCCCCAGGAGCGTCTTCAAACTCCCGTCCTTCAGCGGTACGCAGAGAAGTATAAGGAATCGAAGCGCAGAGCGGAGCGTTGTCGTCCTCCTCATGCTTTTGCCTCCTTCTCCTCATTCTCGTCAATTTCGCTGTTCCTCCGTCCTCCCTCTCCTTTATTTCTCATCGTAGTACCCAGCCTTCAACTACAGGCTGGGGAATCTTCCTCCTCGCGCCACACCGAAACCCAACACATGCATGCTGTTGCGCCCTGGCCACATGCATGCTGTTGCGCCCCAGCCAGCCCTGCCCAATATAATCATAGCATTGAACTACGACTCCTGGGCTCCGTGGATCGAAGTGCTTGTGAATCCTCGATGCTCGTTAATGTTACGTGTACTTGTATATACATCTATACATGCACGTACCCGTCGGTCGGAAGAAGTGGGTCGACCATGAAGTAGGAAGGCGTTGGAAGTGGATTGGGCTTCCGCCCGCCACCAGTCGAGTCTTAAAGTAGGAGAGCGGCTGCAGTACATTGGGACTTGGGCATCCGTCGATACCTACTTTGAACAGCCGACGGGTACACACACGCACACACGCATACACACACCTACAAACATCTATATATATATATATATATATATATATATATATATATATATACACACGCACACTAGAATCATCGCGCGCGCTTTGCGAGCGCTCAGGTTCTAGCAGGCCCCAGACCTTGACGAATTTATTGCTCCACTGAAGTAGTGGACCACAGTCCACGCATGCCAATCTGCATTCCGAAAGGCCTTCGAGGAAAATGGTTGTGTCGGGGGGCGGAGGCTGTATGAATCGGGTTCCCAGAAGACCTTCCGGGAGCATGGGCTTGGGGGCGTCTTGGAGAGCCTGTTGGGGCGTGCCGTCGTCGTCGTCGTCGTCGTCGTCGTCGTCGTCGTTGTGGTCATCGTCGTCGTCGTCGTCGTCGTCGTAATGTCGTCGTCGCCTATTGGGGCGCGCCGTCGTCGTCGTCGTCGTCGTCGTCGTCGTCGTCGTTGTGGTCGTCGTCGTCGTCGTCGTAATGTCGTCGTCGCCTATTGGGGCGCGCCGTCGTCGTCGTCGTCGTCGTCGTCGTCGTCGTCGTCGTCGTCGTTGTCTTTGTCGTTTCGTCGTCGTCGTCGTCGTCGTCGGTTCAAGAGGGCACTTGGGGCAACTTTGTGCGGAACGATCTGCGGAGGGCCGCGAGAAGGCGATCAGTCATGTTCCCAATCAACTTCCCAGACAGCTCTCCTGTAGCATGATGGTACTTCGAAGCCTCCTGAGACTCGCGGGCCCATGATGAACCATGTCCCCGGAAGGTTGTCTGGGGACATGGTTTGTTGGGGTGTGTTGGGGGGTCTCTTGGGCGTTCCCTGGGGGCCCCTTGGGGGCCTCCAGGAACTCTCGGGCCCGTGATGAACCATGTCCACGGAAGGTTTTCTGGGGACATGATCTCTTGGGGTGTGTTGGGGGGCCTGTTGGGCGTTCCCTGGGAGCCCCTTGGGGGTCTCTTGGGGCTTCCTGGGGGCGGGCGCCTCACGGGGTTTCGTGGGAGCCTCTTGGTGGCCGGGGCCTACAGGCGGCCTCTATGGCCAGAGACCTCGAAATATCGGTTGGCGGTCCCCCTCTGGGCCCTCTCTTGGGGAGCTCTAGGGGCACAATTGGGTTGTCTGGGGAGCCTCCTGGGCCGTCTTTGGGCCCTCTTCCGGGCCTCGTGGCCCGTCCTGAAGCGATCTGAAGGGCCTCCGAACGAGGCCGTGAGGGAGCGCTGGGAAGCGGGGAAAGCGAGAACGCCTAAATCCTTAAAAAACCATAGGAAAATTTGTGAATCTTGCCTCCCAGGGCCCTCTTGGGGAGCCTCTTGAGTCCGTCCTGGAGCGTGTTGGAGTCCTCGTCGGCCGTCTTGAGGGTATCTTGGGCGTCTTCGGGGCCTCTTGGGACCGTCTTGGGCCCTCTCAGGACCTCCATTCGCTTGTCGTGACCTGCTTCGGGGCGGGCCCTGGCCGCCTCGGGACCCCTCTGGGCCTTCTCTTGGCGCGCTCTTGGGGCACACTTGGGTTGTCTGGGAACCATCCTAGGCCGTCTTGGGGCCCTCTTCCGGGCCTCGTGGGCCTTCTTGGAGCGATCTGAAGGGCCTCCGAGGCCGTGAGGGAGCGCTGGAAAGCGGAAAGAACGAGAACGCCAAAATCCAAAACACTCGGAAAACGAGTGAATCTTGCCTCCCAAGGCCCTCTTGGGGAGCCTCTTGAGTCCGTCCTGGAGCGTGTTGGAGTCCTCGTCGGCTGTCTTGAAGGCATCTTGGGCGTCTTCGGGGCCTCGTGGGACCGTCTTGGGCCCTCTCGGGACCCCCTTAGCCTGTCGTGGCCTGCTTCGGGGCGGGCTCGGGCCGCCTCGGGAGCTCTGGACCCCCCGCGCAACCCCTGGTGAGCACCGATGGGGGGAACAGACAGCGCCCCCCCATCCCCCGGGCCTACTCCGAGATAGAGAATCATGTTCCCAGGAAGCTTTCCCGGAGCATGAGTAGTTCGGCTCTCTAAGAGGGGGACCTCTGGGGGCTTACCGAGGGGCGCCTTTTGGCCTTGTCGGCAAGCCTATTGGAAACATGGGTGGGGCGGTGGGCGGAAGCCCGAGGAATCATGTTCCGGGAAAGCTATCTGGGAAATACGATTTACCGAAGTGTCTTGGGGGCCTGCAGGGGGCTTCCCCGGGGGCCCCTTGGGGGCCTATTGGGGCTTCCGGGGGGCGTCTTGGGAGCCTCACAGGGCTTCTTGGCAGCCTCTTGATGGCCTCCGGGAGCGTCCTAGGAGCCTCTCAGGCCGGAGACCTTGAAATGTCGCGCTCTTCGGGCCCTCTTGGGTCGCTCTTGGGGCTCTCTTGGGGTGCTCTCGAGGCCCTCTTGACTTATCTGGGGAGCCTCCTGGGCCATCTCTGGGCTTTCTTGGGAGCCTCTTCGGCCGTCTTGGAGCGATCTGAAGAGCCTCTGATGCGGTCCGGGACCGTGGGGAGGCGGAACATGGGAGAGCGCAAGAATGCTTCAAAAACCATTGGAAAATGCACGATTCTCGGCTTCTGGGGCCCTTTGGATGGGCCTCTGGAGGTGCTCTTGGGACGTTTTGGCGGCGTCGTCGGCCGTCCTGAGGCCATCTTCGGCGTGTCCGGGGCCTCTGGGGGCTGTCTTTGGGCGTCCTGGGAACCCGGAAATCATGTTCCTGGAGAGGCTTCCGGGAACATGATTTCGAACGGGGCCCCCTTGGGCCTCCCTGAGGCCGTCTTGGGGGCCTCCTGGGCCAACTTCGGGGCCTCTTGGGCCGTCTTGGGAGGTTCCGTGAGCCCCACAGAACGATCCTTTTGGGCCGTCTTGAGCCCTCTTCGGTCTCTCTTGGGCTGTCTTGGTGCTCCTCAAACGCGTCTGGGGCACTGTGAAGACGAAGCAAGGGAGTATGCTGAATATGTACGTTTTACTATGGGAACGGGCTGATTTTTGCCTCTTGAAGGCCCTCTTGGGGCCCTCTTCGGCCATCTTCAAGCCATCTCGGGCCCTCTTGGGCCTCGCTGAGGCTGTCCTGGGGCCCTCTAGGGGGCCCTGGGAACCCGGAAATCATGTTCCCGGAGAGGCTTCCGGGAACATGATTTCAAACGGGGCCCTCTTGGGCCTCCCTGAGGCCGTCTTGGGGGCCTCCTGGGCCAACTTCGGGGCCTCTTGGGCCGTCTTGGGAGGTTCCGTGAGCCCCACAGAACGATCCTTTTGGGCCGTCTTGAGCCCTCTTCGGTCTCTCTTGGGCTGTCTTGGTGCTCTTCAAACGCGTCTGGGGCACTGTGAAGACGAAGCATGGGAGTATGCTGAATATGTACGTTTTACTATGGGAACGGGCAGATTTTTGCCTCTTGAAGGCCCTCTTGGGGCCCTCTTCGGCCATCTTCAAGCCATCTCGGGCCCTCTTGGGCCTCGCTGAGGCTGTCCTGGGGCCCTCTAGGGGGCCCTGGGAACCCGGAAATCATGTTCCCGGAGAGGCTTCCGGGAACATGATTTCAAACGGGGCCCTCTTGGGCCTCCCTGAGGCCGTCTTGGGGGCCTCCTGGGCCAACTTCGGGGCCTCTTGGGCTGCCTTGGAGGTTCCGTGAGCCCCACGGGACGATCCTTTTGGGCCGTCTTGAGCCCTCTTCGGTCTCTCTTGGGCTGTCTTGGGACTCCGCGGGGGCGTCTGGGGCACTGTGAAGACGAAGCAAGCGAGTATGCTGAACATGTACGTTTTACTACGGGACCGGGCTGATTTTTGCCCCTTGAAGATCCTCTTGGGGCCCTCTTCGGCCATCTTGAAGCCATCTCGGGCCCTCTTGGGCCTCGCT